CACGCCAGTGCATACATACATACATACATACATACACATACATAGATCAAACTAGCTGATCATAATCAACAATGTAAATTACTTATACGCATCCTTTCCCTATCCCTTAACATATCCGAACCATCATGTTAAAGTTCATTCCTCCTACAATAGCTGTGTCTCACTCAGCATAATCCTTTCCTATCTCTCTCCTTTTAAGGGATTATAAAATCATGTATGTAGAACCGAATCATCATTTACGCATCGCCTTCAAGAACAAACATACATCCATACATCCATACAACTTTACCTTCAATTCTCCAGACCTCCTACTAGTTACTATTCCATGCACTGTAGTGCCGCCGAGTTACTTAACAACTTCTGAGGCCGAGTTGACTGTACTGTACTGTACTGTACTGCAGCAAGGGAAGCAAGCATTAATGATACTCGAGGTTATATTCCAAGCTATACATACACAAAGCATTGAATACTGCGTACGAGGTTGCTATGAATAAGCCTAGATACATACATGTGTATGTCTATTATGAGAGAGGATAAGATACCTACTAGTAGCACTACTTGTGGTTAACGAAGTGAAGCTACTATGATAACCAAAGTGAAGGTAAATAAGGTCGGGAATGAAGTAGAAATGGTGGCAATAGGAATAGATACAGAGGCAATGCCATCGAGTAATGAATACTACTATCACTACTACACTCATCCAAGATAGCAAGATGTATTATATTAAGACAATCAAGAGGGGACTTAGTATTCCGTTAATCGGATGTCGGGAAGGAAGAATATGGAAGGGAAGAATGGATAGGACCAAGAATCGAAGAATAAAAAAAATAAGAAACTTTTCTAACGAGATTTTGTCTAAAGTAGAAGAAAGAAAGAGAAAAAAAGGAAGCAACTGCAGGAACACTGCAAGCTATCGCCAGCAACACACCGAGCCCAGTGTAGATGCATCAAATGCAGAAGGGGAAGTGAAAGAAAGGCATAAACAACGTGACTACTAAAACTTGTCTCTCGCATGACATAAGTAAAACGTCGTGGCTAGCCTGCAAGTCCCGCCCCGGTGATGACGCTGGTCTCTGCTTTTAAATCAAAGATCAAATCAACTGCAGCGTCGTCGTTTCGGAGAGGAGAAACCGTCAAAGCTCTCCGGGTATTGAAAATGCAAGGAAAAAGAAAGCAAAAGACACATAGAGCAATACATGATATGATAGCAATAATGGAAAGAGGATAATAAAGAGCAAGGGCATAGCAAAGGTCACCATGGACACTCCTGCGAACCAAACCTATCTCGCTAGATTCAAGAACCCCCCACCTCCGTTATGGGTCGTAGCAACAGAATTGTACAAGAGAATGTCGGAAGTCCCCTCTATTTCCACGGGAATAATATGAGCGACCGATCTTTTTGGTTTTCGCCGAAATCATGGACGAGAAGATTAGGGAGGAATGTTCATTTCAAATCACATGACGGACATGGTCGTGACTAGGTGTCAAAAAAGAAGTGAGGAATCTTTCCAGAAGAACGGAATCATTTTTCATTATCATTGCGACAGAATCTATGAGGCCTCCTCACCATCCTTGGACGGGGTCTTGGAGGGCCGGCGCTCGACCGCGGGTTGCGACTTGGTCAGCAGAGGGGAGGTAGGGTTGGAGGGAGGGGAAGTGGCCATGTTGTCACGGTCTTCCAAGCTTGCCAAAGCACTAGAAGGAATATTAGCATCACGTCACTGAATAATGATCTCTGGGCTCACTAACCTGAAGGCATTGATCGAGGACGCGGCCTCCTTGTCTTCCTTCTTGCCAGTGGGAGTGCCAGTGCGGCTGCTAGCAGCACTGTCATCACTGCCACGAACCAAGTTGCCACCAGGGCCCAGATTCTTCCGTCCGCTGTTGCTGCGGGAGCCCAGCATGCTGGACGGACCGAAAGACATCGGCTGGTTGGTTTGACGAGAGGTGCGAAGGCGGCGGAGATCATCACTGCCGACCTTGCTAGACGCGAAGTCTTGCGGGGGAGCCTGGTTGCCATATCCGCTGTAACTGCGGGCATCGCCACGACCCAATCCGGGGCGGCTACCACGGTTGGCCTGTTGGCGAAGACGCTCCATCTCGGCCTCCTGCTGGGCACGAGCAGCCTAGTAAAAGAGTCAATAAAGGTACGACAACGTAGACATATGGAAGACCAAGTACATACCTCTTCACGAATCTGCTGGATCGTCTTGGGACCCTTGTCAGCATCCTTTGACTGCCAGCGAGCAGCACGCAGATCCACGATATCCTAATACGAGTATTAGCAAACCGAGCAAGTCAATATGACAGCGGTAACGAGAATCTTACCATCAGCATGAAGCGCAGACGACTGGGCAGGCCAGGAGTCTGGATCATCAGACCGATACGGTGGAAGTAGGCATTCATGAAGGCGTGGCCCTTCTCAGAGACATCGAGGCTGGCACCAATGGTACGCAGCAGACTGGTCAAACTCTCAACCTCGGCCTCGTCGGGCATACCTTCGTAGTCGACAAGCTTCTTCACACACTCGTGCATGATACGCTCCGTCAACATGCCCAACTTGTACAGCTCACCAATGAACTTGACGAGACCCAGACCACGACGCTTAGCGGCGGCAGCCTTGTAGTATTCATCAGACATCATAGCAGCCTCCTCGGTCTCACCCTCCGGCTTAGGGGGCAGGTTGACCTTCCAACCACGCTCGAACTCCTCCTGACAACGGTTGAGGAGGTACTTGCGGAACAAGCTACCACCAGCGACGACGTTGCCATTCTTGTCGTGGATGTTCTCATCCTTGATCTCAGCGCTCATACTCTCAAGCATGCGCTTACAGAACTTGGCATAGATTGAAGCCCAGTGGGCCTCGTCGGTAGCCTTCTCGAACGTAAGCTGGATGACCTGGCGTAGAGTACGTCCATCGGTCTCGTCCTTGGATTGAGAGACGATTTCCAGGAGCTGGCCGGCAATACGGTCGAAGTTCTCCGGCGTCATCTTGTTCAGAGCAGCCTTGACCTTGCGCTGCACCATATCGGGAGGCATGTGAGTGGCGCCGCCAGGAGTAGGCCCAGCAGCAGCAGCAGGAGCTTGGCCAATACTGCGAGGCTTCCAACCAGTGGAAGACACCTGCAGAGCCTTGACCTCCATACCAGCAGTGAGAGGCATGGACTTGGCCATTTCCTCCTCCTTCTTTGCGTTCTGCTTATCACGCTTGCTGCCCGTCCGCGTACCGGAGCGGTTGCTGGAGCCAACACGAGGGGATGAGGGCATACCGGGGTGCATGGCGCTTGCAGAGTTGGTGCGACTGATACCAGGAGCACCAATACCGAGACCAGGACGTCCGAAGTTGCCGAACGGATTGCCCATAGAAGCAGTGCGGGCGGCGTTCGACATAGCGAAGCGCTCGGCAGAAGTGGTACCAGGAGGCAAGTTGGAGGCGCGGCTGGGGGTCTGGCCGAAGTTGCCCATCTGGAAGGGAGCGGCACCAGGGCGGGAAGAATTGCGGCCGCCCATCATGGGCGTCCGGGCGGACTGAGGGCGAGAAGAATCGCTATCACCCACAGTCTCACGCACGCGCGCATCCCAGTCAATGGAAGGCTTCTCCTTGAAGACACTCTGGAACTGCAGCAAGAACTCCTTGTTGTAGTGGAACTTGCGGTCGGCAGGGGCACTTGCGTTCAGCGCGGGGTTCGGGGAGACGATAGAAGCAGGGTAAGTAATCTTGCTGAGATCGTCGACGAACCGAGCAGAGTGCAGAGCCTTCATGGCCGCACTAGGCTGGGGAGGCTCGACAGCCTTGGTGGTCTCCAACTTGAGAGCCGCCGGCTTCTCGCGCTTGTTAGCGCTGGCAGGCTTCGAGGGAGGTCCCATGGACATGTCAGAAGCGGGAGTAGCAGCACCGCTGTCTCCAGGAGTACTGGCCTCGGTAGCAGGGAAGCCACCCTTCTTGAGAGAAGCGAAAAGATCCTTGTCCTTGGACTCCTCTTCAACACCGGCTTCACGCTTCTTAGCACGGGCCTCTTCCAAGGCCTCGGCTTCACGCTCAGCATTCTTCATGTTGGCCTCGTAAGCCTCACGCTCCTCCTTCTCCTTGCGCTCCTTCTCTTCCTTTTCAGCCTTCTTCCTGGCGTAGTAGGCCTCTTCAGCGGCACGCTCCTTAGCTTCGATCTCGGCCATCTCGCGTTCGATAGCATCGTAGTCGATATCGTCGTCATCATCAGCAGGGGCAGGGGCAGCTGCGGGCTTGGAAGGCTCCTCGGCCTTAGTCTCGGCGGGCTTATCCTTCAAGCTCAGATCCTCAAGACCCTTGCGAGCCGCTTCTTCATCCGCAGCCTTCTTCTGTGCAGCTTCCTCTTCCTCCTTCTTCTTTTGGGCCGCATCCTCCTCGGCCTTCTTGCGCGCGGCCTCTTCCTCTTCCTCCTTCTTCTTCTGGGCCGCTTCTTCTTCCGCCTTGCGACGCTCGGCCTCCTCCTTCTCAATTCTGTCCTGCTCAATCTTCTGGTGCACCGCGTCTCTCAGCTCCTTCTTCTTTTCCTCATCCGTCTTAGTGGACTTGGAATCGGTGCGAGTGTGATCGGCACTGCTGCCGGTACGCGGGGGAGGAGTCGAGGTCGGGGTGGCAATCTTGACAGGCGAAGGGGTAACACGGGCAGGAGAGGCCGGGGCCTTCTCGAAGGTCTTCACGGCACCACTGCCAGGATCCTTGATGACAACGGCGTTCTTCTTGGCCGTGGGGATGACGAAAGAAGACTTTTGAGGGGCAGGGCTGTTGGAGGAACGGCTGGCATTGTGGGCATGAGCGGGGCCGGGAGCACCAGCCGGGGGCTGGCCTTGACCCAAGCTCGACCCGGGCCGATCGTTCGAATGAGACGGGCTACGAGACAGAGCTGTGGCCTGTGCGGCGGGCTGCACCGGGTACTGGTTTTGCATGTACGGAGCCTGAGCGTTGTAAGGAATGCCAGGGCGAGGCTGCGGCGACGGGGGCATGTATGGCACACCACCCATGTTGTAATTAGGGTAGAAGCCGTAGGCCGGGTCAAAGGTGGGATATCCCTGCTTTGATTTCATCATGGTTAGATACCGTTCGAAATGGCCACTTTCTGGCGCCAGATTCGGAGGCAGAGTGATATGGGGGTTAGGGGTAACAGAAGAACGGGGGGTGATTGGGGTACGGGATGGTCCTTTTTTGCGATTCAGGGCGCCGCCGCGGCGTGCGGGTTTTTGCAAGGGATGGGGTCTCACAGGTTGAGGGGGCATAGGTTGGCCATAGTAGGGCTGAGGCGCCATCTGCGGATGGGCCATCGGGACCTGGTTCATCTGAGGAGTGGCCGGGTGCGCATTAGCCAGCGCCGGGCTGCGACTCGCCTGGTGAGGAGAGTTGGGGAAGGGCATCGGGCGCGGCTGGTTCGGGAACTGGGGAGCCATGTTGGGACCACCACGGGGTTGATTGGGGGTCGAACGGAAGCTGGCGTTAGGCGAGTAGGGCATCTGTCCCTGGTAGCTCGACTGCGAGAATCCACGTCCACGACCGCCCTGGTGGTGGTAGCCACCGCGACCGCCGGGACCGCCGCCCATATGGTTGCTCATATCGCTGTGGGTCGACTGGGAGGATTCGCGACGCAGATGAGTCGACTGAGCGCCAGGACCAAGGGGTGCCTGAGGAGCCGGGCGCATCTGTTGCTAGCGCATAATTGTTAGTAACAGCATTTCACCGGGTAGGTATGCAGTCGGAATGCCAAGCAAAAGAGATGTGCTCCGCAAGATTTGCCCCATTCCTAACTAGGGATTTCCACTCAATTTTGTTCTCCTTCCTTTCACTCATTGGATTTTTTTTTTTTTTTTTTGACGTGAGAAGATAGTAGAACGAAAAAGAGGGCAAAGGGTTCGTAGACTAGACAGAAGAAAAAAAAAAAAAAATCGCCACTTACGTTGTCGCCAGCGTCACCAAAGCTGCCAAAGTTCGGAACGTTGCCCTGGGACTGATACGACGACGGCGGTGGCCGGCCACCGCTCGAGGCAGGCTGCGGGATGGGAGAAGGAGAAGTCTGGGGGGAAGTCACGCGAGGGTTCATGGGCGGAGTAACACCGAGACCGGACTGAGGCTGGTTAGCCAGGACAGCGGGATTGCCCATGTTGGGAGACGACTGCTGGTTGGCAGCGAAGCCAAACTGCAGACTGTTCGGACGACCGGTTTGGCCACCGTTGGGGATGAAGCCCGAGGTGCCAGCGGAGGTGATAGTCACGGACGGCTTTCTAGTGTGGTCGCCCTGGGAGGCCGGGGCCGGGGCGCCATTGACGATGGTGACGCCGGGGGTTTGGGATTGCTGCATGGGTTTGCCGCTCACAGGAGATGCTGTAGTCGACTTCCCATGTTGCGACGGGCCGCCCACGGTGACGGGAGCGGCGGTCGAGTCCGTCGCGGACTTCTTGGTGGCGTTGGCGTAGGAACGAGGAGCCGTCGTCGAGGTAGACGAGGGCGTAGGAGATTTCCCACCCACTGAAGGAGAGGAAGTGTGTGCGGAGGAGGCGGCCTGAGTCGAGGTGCTCTGTCCTTGAGGTTGAAGGCCTGACTTGGGAGGGATCGAGCTCATTAGACAGGTGATACGCGAAGAAGATTCAAGCGCTGATAGTGGTTTGAAATGAGGAGAGGGTTAAGAGAGGACGGAAGGCTGTTTTGATAAGAAGACGATTGCGTTAGAAAGGCGTGAGGCTTTTTTCGGAGGGGGAGCAAGGGTGATGTCAAGGGTGGTGTTACCGCAGTCAAGAGGAACACGCTCTAGAACCGCACATCCAAAGATTCCCACACGAAACGGGAAAGGAATCGAAGAGGGGGAGGATTGGGTCGTCTGTGGAAAGACGAGCGAGATGGGGGAGGGAGGGGGGAAGAAGGAAGTGAAGACCACAGAACAAGAAAGATATCACGTCGTGGTCAACGACGATGGGTCTGGGGAAGAAAAAGAGGAAAAAGGGAGAAGAGGAAAAAAGAGGGGGGAGGAAAAAGGCGAGAAGTTTGGAGGGAAAAGATTTCGGTTCCCTATTTTTTCCTTTTGGTGTTTGGCCGGTAAAAGTTGGTGGTGGTGGTTTTTTTTATTTTTTGCTGGTGGTGCTTTTCTTCCCTTCTCACTTTTTTTTCTTTTTTTTTTTTAATTACCGTTCGGGTTTAGGCGTAAGTACACCCGCCAGAACCACACCAAACGGGTAAGCAACCACCCAGGTTGTAAGTGACTACACGGAACAACCCACACACAACATACAGCACAAGAGTAGGTGTGGCTAGAACCACGTCAATAATTCCAGGTTTTAGACCCTAGTAAGAATGAAAGGAATGTGCGTCTAACAGAACATGAATCACCCCATTGTGATTTGAGTCAGACTTAGTGACTGCGCCATCTGATGGTGATTTTTGGCCTACAAGAGTACATCTTGACGCGGAATCTCCGCTCCATCGGGTCAAGGCGGCGACGGCCACCGGAGCCAAGGATGTCACTAGGCCAAGAGTGGTATCATTGGGGGTAAATAACCAACCCTCTTACATTGAACATTACTGACTTAGTAACGGACTAGCAGTTACCAGATCTTGTCGCTCAGGCTCGCACTGGCGCTTTCTGGTTCTACCTTGGGACTTGCACCCACAGTAACAATTGTCCGTGGCGAGTCGCTGGAAGCGCCTATACTATCGAGTAAAAGAGTAAAAAACCCATAGTGAATGAGAATGATGGGTGAGATTGGGCTATGTATTGCAGATTCTGCTCTTCTGCCTACCTTCGATGCTCATCAAAGTGAATTGTTAGCCATAGCAATGACGCTGGATGCTATCATATTTACACCTCAGGCACACAATACGTTTGGCGTTTGCCACACAAAGCAAGCAGCTTACTTCCCAATACCGTATGATACGGTCATGGGAATCATTCGGCAGCACCACACCTTAACTCTCTGCTGCTTGATTGCTGTGTTACCTGCACAACTCTTCAGCTGATGGCGGGAGTTGCAGCATATCCTCCCATTTTGGATTCTCCTGGACTATTTCCAAAATGTAATAATATACAAGTTTGTCTATACAGATGATCCCGCGTGAAAGGGATAAGATATGAAATGAAGAATAATAAAAATAGGAATGGATAGGTATATCACAAAACCGATCTTCCTTCCCACGCCCGAGCACCCAACCATGCACCCCCGATCGCCCGGTCAACAAACCAACCCACGTTAAGGCCGATTCCCAGCATTCCAAGGAGATACCGACATGCATCCAGCCTACCACACACCAGCAAAAACCCATCCCATCCCTATCGATAACTAGCAGAACAGACAGTCACAAACACGGATAGATAGACACCGCAGATTTATAAATAGAAAGTAATAATAATTCTTTTCTTTTTTTTTTTTTATACTTGCGTTGGGATTTGTGCGATCTCGCCTCATCCCGGCTATGCAGAAGATGAAAGGCTGTGTTGTTTTTTTTCCCCTTCCTTTCCAATTCCTCACATGCCTGGCTGACATCGGCCATCCGACCGACAATAACGTTACTAGTAACTAGTCTAACTAATAGCAATCCACTACCTATTCAATCTGTCCTGCCTTGATTGGGCCGACGCTATTGACTGCCAGCATGTACTTAAACGAAGAGTAACTAGACAAGACAGCAACTGCCTTGGTTATGGATACCGGTGAATGAAATACTAGCCACCCTTTCTCACAAATCATTCACATTTTTTTCTGTCCATCTTCGGGGGCATATTCACCGCGATTTTTCTTCTTTTCCTTCTTCTTCTTGTTCTCCCTTCCCACCAAACCCATCCTTCCATGCCATATAACCCCCAGTTGACAGTATCACCCCGCGCACGGTGTTTAGCACCGGAGCCGCCGCATACCCATTCATCGCCGCGCTTTGCAAACACGCCCGGAGACTTCGTGCGACAGGATTGCCCCAGTAGGTTTGGCTCCATGCTGCCAATGACCCTATAAGCAAGTACCAAGTGATGGGGTCAGTAAAGTGGGTTAAGTAAGTAGTAGTAACTCCGTGCACAGAATCCAGTAGAGCAACTATCCACAACACCCAACATTACCAACCACCCAAGCAGTAACTAGTAGGAAAACAGCAAATATCGAGCAATACCATCCCAAAAATGTCATAATGCAATCAGTTGGATAGTAGACATACTCGCACACGGCCCCAACGGCCCATACCCCACCAGCCTAAGCAACCATGCCGGGTAGAAAACCCCCACGATGCTAAATATTGTCTGGTAGGGATGTTTCACAACATAGTCTTTCGTAGCATTCCCCGCTCGGGCGATGTGCGGCTTCGCAGCATCCACGACGGGACCGGTCCGGTTGGTGAGTTGAGTCAAATTCAGATTCAGATCCAGGTTCAGATTCGTCAAATTTAAACCCGTTAGATTCAGACTCGATGTATTGGGAACGAGATGCCCTGCTAGCTGCTGGAGGCGTTGGATGGTTGTCTGCGTAGTGTTGTATACAGACCCCATGCTCATGAAGTTGCCTGTCATTGCTGCGGAGGTGAGCGCTAAGAGATGGATGAGGGTGAATAGGAAGGTGGTAAGTCGCATGTTCGATCGTGATGGCGCTGCACTTAAGGGTGGTGGTGTTTGCGGGGATTGAGGGAGGGGTAGATAGAGGGTTATTAGTAGCCAGCTGGGGCGTAAGGCTGTCGGTACTAATCTACGTGGTGTTGGTTGGGTTGGGCCTTTCTGTACACATTACGCGCTCATGGTGACAAGGGGCTCATGCAGAGAGACTGCGGCAAGGCGCATTTACTTCGCATACGTCGCTGCCCCTCGCGTATCGCTGTTATCCTTCTGTTTCAACTAGGTTGCGGCTGCATTCGCTGCTCAAGGCATCCTATCCTATCATTCTTGCTTTTCATTGATGAAAAGGAGTGCTAGCCTCATGCAAGAAAGTATCTGCTTGGTCTAAATAATCAGTGAGCCCGACTTCTTGCGCCCTCGCTCCCATGGTCGACACCCGAGGATCCTGCTTGCTCCCCACCTCCAAACCAACCAGAGGCCCAGTTACCGCTGCTTGTGCGGCCATGCGCATCGGACGAGCGTTCCTGGGTGTCCTCATGTTCTACATGAGTAAATGAGTTCTCGCTGCGGTTCTTTCGCAGCGGTGCACCACCGTACGCCAGGTCGTCACCCTCTGCGCCTGCACTGTGCAGGTCGCGCTCCTCTTTGGCCAGAGCGCTACGCAGCACTTCCAACATGTCCCTTTGGTTCGAGATAAACTTGGCCTTGTCCGCACGGGACATGGATGCGACCTCCCGTGGCAGCAGTGTTCCGCTGGCAGACAACTCTTCACCGCGTGCTTCAGCACTCTTGCCAGATGCGACGGAAGCGACTGCAGAACCGATGGCAGAGAGCCAGTCGTTGCTTGCAGCTGGGGCAGTGCCTCCAGCGGCAGTTGGGATATTGAACCGGGACAAGAGCGACTGCGCATAGGCAGCCGGGCCAGTCGGGGGCGGAGGAGATGCGGGACGTTGGGCCGGCAAGCCCAGAATATTCTCCCGAACGTAGTCTAGGGCTTGGTAGAAATACTGAAGTCCTAGAGCCTTGGCACGCTCATGGCTGCGGCCAATGAACTCCTCAATCTCACGCTCATGATGCTCCAGGAATGGGTCGACATATTCCTGGTATAGACTCCGAGCTCCCTGGGTCTGGGGGAGAACAAGATAGGAAAAGAAAAAGAGGCGGATCCAGCTATAGAACGGGAACCTGCAACAGCTTGTCAGCGGACGGACCTAAGCATGCCTCGCGATTGTCTCGTGGCCGTACCATCCCAAAATGAAGATCGTCCATGACTCGGCCATCAGCACGGCCGACAGAACGACCCAATACATAAGCCATGGTGCCAGCTGGGAAGGGTCGCCAGTCCGGAGGGCTTTGTAAGAGGCAAATATAGGAAGCAGGATCGTGATGATTGAGCTAGATGCATAACCTCGTTAGCATATGCATAGCGTATGAGAAAGTGCAGGGTACACATCATAGGGCCGGGGTGTCCGGGGTCGACCGGCATCGCCGGGACTCGATGACGAACGATAGCAGATGGTACTCACGACAAAAGGTCCGCAATAATACCGAACATGATGGGCAATTGTATACAGTTTGATCCGTTTGCTGGGCTGAGTTCCCTTGGAGAGAAGGGTGATAGGAGGGGAAAAGAATTTATCGGTAAGCTGAGCTGCTGCTGGATTGCGGGGCAGAAGCTTCACGCGACCAGCGGACCAGCACAAAGGAGAGCGGCCAGCCGCAAGGAAAGTCTAATACTTTATGAATCTTAGCGGATTGGCCTGCGGATTCCAGGAAGGAGGATAAGGTGGTAGTAAAGAAGGAATGGAAGTAAAATTCGGGGGGAGAAAAGGCCCAAGACGGAGCGTGGCTGCCTTGAGAAACTGGGGCCAAGCCACGATGATCCATCGAGCCCTACAGTGGTACTTACCGCATTAGGAAAGTATCGGTGCGGATGCCTTAACTCAGCCGTGTGGCTCAGGCAGTCTAGCTCTCCTCTTCGGGACTAGTCCCGTAATAAGGGCAGCCTGCCCGCCTTGCCGTTTCGGGCAATGCCGCGGTATCGACGTCATGCGAATCAATATCGGTTAACGACTTGAATGAAGAAGGAATGGTACGATAGGCTATGGTACAGTTCCATTCAGCGTCTTATCAGTTATATAAGTAAATGATGTATCTTTGGGGACAAAAGTAGCAACTTCACACCGACTCCGCCTTGAAGAGCCGTCCTCCAGGTGAAGAGGACTAACACTACTGGTAGTATATATATACTGCTATGGATAAAAGTTGTGATGATGTTTCGCTATGATCATATCATCATGAAGATAATAGTACTATTGCTTTGCAAGAGCAAATCCATTGTAGCAAGAACCCCGTGAAGGCTAATCTCATTACCCATTCTTTACTAGCCTACTCTAGCATTGACTGATAGTACAATGGCATTCCTCACTGCCAGGCGGAGCGCCTATCTTAGCATCACGAAGGCGGTGGAGCTGAACTGCCGGTCCAGTTGTCGGATGACCTCAGTGCCCAACAGTCGCCTTGCTTTCTGGACTCGCCAGAGCAACCTCGCCCTGCGCTTCTGAGTCGACTCTGCTCATTGAATCCAGGGACCCTGCTACTAGTTGTCATCAGACTCGGACAACCTCACGGAAACTTGTGATTGTACAATACTAGTACTCACCGCCCGATCCTACCCGCCTGTCGCACGAGACTACCCTTCCCCTCATATAGGTGGCGGCAGTTCGCTTGCCTGACGCCGAGCTCAAGAATATTACTACTACATCAGAATTCTTTCCTACCTGCTTCCTCTGTTTCCCAGAAACGTCGCAATGTGTATCGCGCTTCTATCCACCGCACATCCTTCCTATCCCTTGATCATCATCAACAACAGGGATGTACGCGACAATGATTCAAACCACATGCTCGGATCCGTCCAAAACTAACGGCGTCTAGGAATACATACGTCGACCGACATCTCCCGCTGACTGGTGGCCTTCACCAGGGTCCAATATCTTAGGTGGCCGTGATCTAGCGCGAGAGCCACATGGAACATGGATGGGAGTGACCAGAGAAGGCAAAGTGGCAGTCTTGACCAACTACCGCGAGAATACATCAGAACAAGCTATTGGGGCGAAGAGCCGGGGGGCCATTGTATGTAGCTGGCTTGCTGCGCCTTCTGACGAGAAGCGGTCAACCCGGGAATATGTGCAGGATATGGTTGCGAGTCCCACCGCCAGGAATGTCGGTGGGTTCAGCCTGCTTTGTGGATACATCAACGAGCCCCTGGCAATCGTCTCCAATCGCTCATCCACCATGGACCAAATTGCATGGGTTGCCACAAAACCTGATCAGACTTTGGGTCTCAGTAACACAGTTTTCGAGGATCGGTCATGGCCTAAGATTCTTGACGGCGAAAGACTGATGAATGAAGCCATTGCTACGCACGTGCAGGCTGGGGAGGACGAAGATGCTCTTATTACCCGATTCCTTGATATGCTGAGCACCAATACACTCCCGAAGCTCTCAGAAGATGCCACTGCGGAGGACTACCTTCCGTATTTTCGAAAGAGCATCTTCATTCCTATCCTGGGTGCTCGCGAGAAACCCGCGAAGCCGGCAGATACAGTAGCTCCTGTGTGCGTTGATGGTAAGCAGGCAAATGGGGCTGCGGGAGGGGAGCACCATGCAATGGATCTCTCATTCCTGCATGGTGCATATGGGACTCAACAACAAACGGTAGTACTGGTAAGCGGCGATGGACGTGTGCGATATTTCGAACGCACATTATATGACAACGATGCAAACGCGATCCCGATCGGCCAGGGTGATCGATCATTCGAATTTCACGTCGGTCAACACTGCAACGAAGCCGACAGAACTTCATGAGTCGCCGATGGCATGTCCTGGGGTGCTCCGAACAGTATCCATAGCAATCTAATTCTCCGCTCACGGCCTTCCAATCGGCCTCGGTGACTGTGGCTATGTAAATATTCTTAACGGCGTCCAATATAAAAAGAGTCCTAAAATAGTAAACCAAGGTCAATAGCTCCGGGTAAGTCGATTGCGATATGGAGCGAATTAATAGTATAGTCTCCTAGAAGCCCGTAGAAGCAGGCCGTTGCCACAATCAATACTTAGCCGGCCGAAAGTGACATGACTCGCCTCTAGAGTTATTCCGGGTGGAACTATGAACGAGGATTTGTGAAGTTCTGGCAGATTAGGAGGCAATTCATATTAATGGCTTGAGGGGATTATTGTACTATTGATTCTCCGCCAGCCTCGGGATTAATTTCAGCACGTGTTCTCAGGAGTCGCTGTCACCCTCCGCTTCCTCTCATCTCACGCCTGTGGACAACCTCTCCCGCTCACTCCCCTCGCAATATTGTCCTCATTATTGCCCCCAATTTGCAAGACTCTGCATCCTCCACAGCAGGCAGATGGTATTTCGTTGGGAGAAAGCATGGGATGTCAATAGGTCCGACTGAAGGACCGCCTGATTTCCGCCGACGGTCCCAGTGGGTCTCCCAAATCCTTGTCTCACTGTTGGATACAGACGGGTCGGCCAGAAATTACCACTGAAGAAACCATCCTGGACAGGAGGGCGCAAAGGTGATCAATCAATCTGCAAGCCGATATGAATGCTAATAGACTAACGGCTTTCTTTGTCTCCGGGCCTATTGACCAGTTCCGTGCTCCCACCGGCCCGGAAGAAATTTAATTAACCGTGGAAACACTCCACCAACGAACAGGAAGCTTAGGCTGCTAACTCGTTTCATCTTAATCGGATCTCCTGCGCGATGCCATGGTATGGCCCCACGCTTCCAGGCAGGCAATTTTGACCCGGAGAAATGAAGGGTGACTGACACGGGGCCAGTGCATCCCCTCCGATATGGTTGCGACGATGCGGGCATGGCTGTTTCCATTAGGTGGCTAAGCCTTGAGGTGTAACAACGGTCTACACACTCTCTCCACCACCACCCCAGCGTTCTACAGAGGAGTTCGGGGATATGCCGTGGCGACTACCGACTTTGGCACATATTGCGTGAATAACACAGTTTTACAGCGGCTGAAAAGCTGCTTTCGTGGTTCTTTTTTTCCTGTTTTCCGCCCGTGGCGTATCCAGATATTAAGGGTCGCTCAGGGACCGGCGCTAGCCCAGCGCCGGCCCAGTGCCCTTATTCGGAGGAATCGGGCGAGAGGTTCTCGACTCCAAGGAGTCCACCCTAGTGGATGGATCCCCTGGCGGGCCACAAGGTAACTGTCTCAGAGAAAGCACCTAAGGCGTTTGCTGAGATTAAGCTGTGGGACCAGAGAAATGATAGGGAATTATGGGATGGTTGCTTTTGGCCGAGTGATCGATTATAAGTATGGGGAGTCCGAACCGTTCGTTCGTTCTACTTGGCACATCACAATCAAGACTGGCTCTTGACATTCATTACTTGTCTTCTATCTTGTGTTTTCACTCCTTCTTTCTTACCTTTAGTCATTCATTCTTTTGATCGACCAGGTCGACGTACATTCTTTTCAAAATGAGAATTAGCAACTTGATCGTTGCGGCTTCTGCCGCCAGCATGGTGTCCGCTCTCCCCAGCCGCCAGATGAAGAAGCGTGACTCTGGCTTCAAGTGTATGTGATGTTTGTCCGAGTTTCGTTGTACCACTCTAACAGAAGTAGGGGTTGGTACTAGTGAATCCGGCGCTGAATTCGGCTCCGCCCTCCCCGGCACCCTGGGAACCGACTACACCTGGCCCGAGACCTCCAAGATCCAGGTCCTGAGAAACAAGGGCATGAACATCTTCCGTATTCCCTTCCTCATGGAGCGTTTGACTCCCGATGGCTTGACCAGCTCTTTCGCTTCGACTTACCTCTCTGACCTGAAGTCGGTATGTTATCGCTCATGCCCCTGATATTGTTGGTCGTTGCAACACTAACTGGTTACATAGACTGTCGAATTCGTTACCAACAGCGGTGCCTACGCTGTCCTTGACCCCCACAACTACGGACGTTTGTAAGTGGATACAGTTGGATGAGAAAGGTGGCATATGATGGCTAACAGCCTGCAGTGATGGAAGCATCATTACTTCCACCTCCGACTTCAAGACCTGGTGGAAGAACGTCGCTACCGAATTTGCCGACAACGACAAGGTCATCTTCGATACCAGTGAGTAGACCTTTTACTATACCATTTATACAAAGAGATAACTAATGGAAACAGACAACGAGTACCATGACATGGAGCAGTCCCTGGTTCTGGACCTCAACCAGGCTGCTATCAACGGTATCCGTGCCGCTGGTGCCACCACCCAGTACATCTTCGTCGAGGGTAACGCCTACACCGGTGCCTGGGACTGGACTACCTACAACGACAACCTGTCTGGCCTGACCGACAGCGAGGACAAGATCATCTATGAGATGCACCAGTACCTTGACTCCGACAGCTCCGGTACTTCCGAGACCTGTGTCAGCTCCACGATCGGCCAGGAGCGCCTCGAGAAGGCCACCGAGTGGCTGAAGACCAACAACAAGCAGGGTATCGTCGGTGAATTCGCCGGTGGCGTCAACTCCGTGTGTGAGGAGGCTGTCGAGGGTATGCTCGCGTACATGTCCGAGAACTCCGACGTCTGGGTTGGTGCTTCCTGGTGGTCTGCCGGTCCCTGGTGGGGAACCTACATGTACTCTCTGGAGCCTACCGATGGCACCGCCTACTCCACCTACCTGCCCATCCTCGAGAAGTACTTCCCTAGCGGTGATGCTTCCGCCTCCAGCTCGGCCTCTGTCTCCGTTGCTGCTGCTACCTCCACTGCTTCCACCACCACTGCCGCTTTTGAGCAGACCACCACCCCCGCCACCCAGGTTGAGATTGCCTCTTCCTCTTCTTCCTCTTCGGCCAACGCCGCCAGCCAGACTACTCTCAGCAAGGTCAAGTCCAAGTCCAAGTCCCCTTGCAAGCTGTCCAGCGCCACCTCCAGCGCTGTCGCTGCCACCACCCCTGTTGTTGTTGCCACCACCCCTGCCGTCGCCCCTACTTCTTCCAGCGTCGCTTTCGTTACCACTTCCGTTTACGTTCCCACCACCACTGCTGCCGTTGCCCCCAGCCAGGTTAGCTCCAGCGCTGCTGCTAGCAGCAGCGGTGTCGTCGGTGTCAGCGACCCACAGGGTCCCTCGGCTACCAACTCTGCTGGTGAGGTGAACCAGTACTACCAGTGCGGTGGTATCAACTGGACCGGCCCTACCGTCTGTGCCAGCCCCTACACCTGCAAGGTCCAGAACGACTACTACTACCAGTGCGTTGCTGAGTAAATGCACTCAGTCCGCATGGTTATCTATCCGGAAGGGAGAATGGGAAGAGGGGAGGGAGAGGTGATAGAGGGTCAAGGATGAAGTTGTTCACATTCTTGTATATAACTTTATAAACACTATAAATCAAAAGCGACCCGAGGTCCCGTCTACTTTCACAACAAACGTTCCATCTACAGCATCCCTAGTTACACCTCCATTGCGACAACCATTATAGTTTCATTTATGATTACACGAATGCGTAAGCGATATTTTCTGATGAATAGTCCGTTACAGATCAGCCCGTCCCGTCTGGGAGGAGACAGAGAAGGGAGAGAGCGGGGGGCCGCTGAAACACCGACCGAAACAAACGAGATCCACCTCAACGGCGGCAATCACGGCACATATGTGGCCCATCGTTCGTTCATGACAGGACAGTCGTGATACGTAAGAAGTAGTAGGCCGTTTCAAGAATGCTTTCAGACTTAACGGGAAGCTAAGGAAGTCATGGTCAGTGGTGAGAATAATATGTTTGCTATTTAAAAAATAATGTTGTGTGTGGGCTTGTACGGACGATAACAGAATTAGGGTAGATTATTTACCCGGTAGGGTGGAGAGGGACTGGGTCATTGTTTATGATAGAAGTTGACCTGACATACTGTCATGAAATTATAGTGGTAATTGAGGGGTGTGTGCATTCTAATGAAGAAATGGAGAATTGTTCTCTGGACTAACATAATTTGAAAGCGAAATAGAGTAGCAAATAAGTCATATGAACTCCGGCAATTAACTACACGCGGAGTGGGGAGACGTCCACACTTCTGGGTTGTAGAAGCATGAGTTAAATACAAGCCTTTCTGTCCCAGTCCTGATGAGGTAGATGTCATGCGTTTGTAGGAGATACTGTTGAATCTCTCCCCAACTATTGCCTCACTAACCCCTTACTAGCTTTTCACTATTCCCTCACTATCATCTGTGTGTGGTATACGCCGCCTTCGCTACCATATCGGCGAGCAGCATGATTGAGATGATCGCAAATGCCTGCAGGCAAAACAAACATTCTCTCGTTGACATGACTGTCGAGCTATCCGTCCAGCTAAGATGGCAAAGCCTACTGCTGGTAATATTGGCAAATTCCCTCCCAAATAGCCACTACCGACAGGGAAAACTAGTCATTGCGGACAGCGCATCTCTGAATGTGGCACCATCATCATTGCCTGCATCTTCGGAGCAGTATACCGTTTTAAGCAGGCGGTGGTAATTTAGAGAGTTCGCTTAGCCAAGCGAGCAGCGACATAGCTCTTTATCTATTGGAACGATGAAGAATCCTGCTTGCAGTGTTGGGGAGGAAGTGGAGGTGTGGAAATGATTGTCCACCTCACCCCGCATCTCCGCACTCTCCTGCACTTCTTCAATTCCCTCAAGGGTCCTTAATTGGCGGGTCAACACTCCCCGCACCGCTTGTCATTGTCGCTTGCAGTATGACTGTATGTGTCCTCGGGTTTGGACCATTCGATGTTATTTCTACAGAATACTGTACTCGCGCTGATGTATCATGGCAGATAGACAGAGCAACTTAGACTTGAGTAGGTGGTATGAAACAAGAACAATAAACCTGCTGCGCAGACTTACAATGTTGAAGATGGCTCGTTTGGGCTTTTCATCGACAAGACTCTGATGATCAGGGTGATCGACACCTCGGAGATATCGCAAGGAGTGCATAGAAGATGGTTTTTCTGCGTTACGCCACGGCGTGGTGGGGTTCCATGAATGCTGATAGCCTGAACTATACTACCGATCACCAGGAGATAGCTGGTCTATAACCGAGCACCGGTTGGCACAGGCCTTCCGGAACCCAGTCATCGCAGTACGCGTTCTGATACAGCCATAAAGACCCTTGGTGGCTGCGAGGTGGGCCCGCCCCAACTTGGAAATGCTTGGTCGATGAGTATAAGAGCAATTGCTCTTCCTGCTGGGAGAGGGGTTGTGAATGTACTGGTCTGACCCCCCTCTTTATCTATTATTGTCGCTTTTGCATGTATGTCCATTATGATTCTGTCCTATACCGCTGGCTTGACTACCCTTGCTGGGTTGGCATTGCTCGCTCAACTTGCTTCTGCCTCTGAATTACCTCTCCCCATTTTGAAAGACTTCGATGATACTGGCGTTCTTGGTGGGCTCTACCGACCAAACACTACGAGCCCACGCTCGCGCATCGCTATCTATATCATGCATGCGGAGCAGGACTACACCTCCTTTGTCGGCTGCACAGAGCTTCAGGAGCGTGGCTTTACTGTGTTTTGCGCGAACAATGAAGCCAGCAAGTCCGGTTATATGTCAGACATAAACTTTGAGGATATGATGCTCCAGGTCAACACGGGCTTGGCCTGGTTGCGCAACCAGACTAATATCGACAAGGTGGTTATTCTCGGTCACAGTGGTGGCGGTGCTATGATGGCCCAATATCAGAACGTTGCAGAGAATGGCGTGTCCGCGTGTAATGGCCCAGAGAAGATCTATCCCTGTTCGAATGCTCTGGCTAGTCTTGAGCCTGCTGACGGCCTGATGCTGCTGGATGCCAATTACGGCATCTCCACCATGGGCTTGCTGAGTCTGAACCCGGCTATTGAAGATGAAACGAATGCCTCAAGGCTCAACCAGTCTCTCAACATTTATAACCCTGATAACGGGTTCAGCAATGGCACTCAATCAAACTTCACTTCAGAATTCAAAAAGAGATTTACGAAGGGCATTGTGGCTCGCAACAACCGTGTCCTGGAGCATGCCCAGAACCGTCTCAAGGAAATTGAGAAGGGCAATGGCATGTTTGGTGATGACGAGCCCCTCACCATCCCTGCGGCTCTTTACCTTGGCCCCAACAACCTTTTCATTACTCAAGATGTTCGAACTCTGCATCACACTACATACCCTTGGACTCTGCTTGAAAAGAACGGTACGACTGAGCAGATTATTCATTCAGTGCGTGTTCCCTCCGGCTGGGTCGACGTCTCTAACTCTTGGGAGCAGGCTGCTCTCAAGACCACCGTACGGCGGTACCTATCAACCCTGGCCATCCGAGCCAACGAGAACTTCAACATCCTGGCAGATAATTTGGAAGGCATAGAGTATGAGTCCACCCAGATGGCCCCTGCCGCATCGATTAAGGGCGTCAGCGTCCCGCTCTTGACCGTGGGGATGGCTGGACATTATGAGTACTTGAACGCTGAAAAGATCCACCTCAATGCCATCAAGAGCAACGATACCTCGATCGCGTTTGTTCAAGGCGCCCAGCACGGCATTTACACCTGCACCGAGTGTGAATCGTACCCCGGAGAATGTGGGGACACCGTCAAAACCTGCTTCAACTATGTTGCGGCTTGGCTGTCCGAGCGCGGTCGCTTCCTGTGAGCCTTTCGCCTTCTGCAGAACCAGAAATAGCCTGCATATCTGCGATATTCGTCTGTGGAAGCCGGACTTTACTTTGTACCGGTTTGTGTCCGCGGTTTTGCGGGTTTCTACGACGGTGAAGTTGCCATGTCATTACCAGAGTAGACTTTCGCTCGCACGGTGTGCGTTCCTGTAGATGTGGACACACAACGGGAGTAGCAATTTTATAGTTTCGACGTATATTATTGCTGTTCATGATAATGCTTCATAGAATCAAGTAACTGCTCGAAGCTATTCGTGAGAGGCTCATGGGCTGACTCAGCGATGTCACCTCTCGGTTCTTCGGACGTTCGCGAACAGCCGCCTTCCCGAGGTTACTTTGGCGTTGCATCAACTCTTCAACTCATAGGCTGATTATCGAGTCGGTCTCTCGTGATTTTATCTGCCATAATTTGTCTTTGCAGCAGGCTGGGAATTATCTGATTAGAGTCTGACCCCTTGCAGCGCGCAAAGGCGAGCGTAGCCATGGAATCCGCACGCCGCTATAACGTCGAACGGTCCTGCCTGCGCTGCCATCAACGCAAGGTCCGCTGCGATAAGAGCTCTCCATGTGGGTCTTGTATACGAGCAAATGTGCTCTGTCAATACCCCGGCCCTAATCGCGTCAAGCGTCGGTCTCCAAAAGTTCACAATTCTGATGTCATTGCCCGACTGGAATCACTTGAGCGCTCCATCGCGGCTCTAGCTGGAAACCGATTGCTGCCTCACCTTCAGCACGAAGTGGCAGACGGACGGACCGTTTCTGCACCAGGTGCGGGGTCCCCCTCAAGCAAAGAACCGTCCCCGACGGGCACAAATGCGGCGGCGGAGCCATCGCACGACGGCCTTCTAGTTGAGGACGGCCGGTATATCAATGAACAACTCTTGTCTCGGGTCCTGGAAGATGAGAAAGAGCTTCAATCTGCCATTGGGACGCCGAAAAGCGATACCAGCAGCTCCCGGCGCCCACTCACGCTCAGAGCGGAAGGTCTCCTTGTCAGTCGCTATGTGGAGGAGGGAGATCTCTATAGCCTGCACCCGTGTCAGTGGCAGTCGACACAGCTGTGGCAAACCTTCTTGAACCGCATCGACCCAATAATCAAGATTCTTCACGTTCCATCGACTCAGCCGCGGATATTCGCGGCTATCAACGAGCCAGCGGCCGCGCCCGCTGATCTCCATGCTTTGCTTTTTGCCATCTTCTTTGCGGCCACGACAAGTGTGCTTGCCGAGGACCCAGCACATGAACAGAGGCGATCAGAAGTCAAGCGATACCAGCAAGGGCTGGAACTTGCTCTCTATCAGTCGAATTTCTTGGACGCTCCCACACTAACATCGCTGCAAGCGATAAGTATCTACCAGGTAAGAACCAGCTAGCTAGTATTGCTATATGGACTTGTAGCTCATCATACGGCATATTTAGATGTGCTTGCGCTATTACAACAGCGGACGATCTGGATGGACGATGCGAGGGTTGGTTATCCGGGCAGCACAATCCATTGGACTCCACCGTGACGGAAGACACTTCAAGTTGACTCCGCTAGAATGTGAGCTGCGCCGCCGACTCTGGTGGCACATTTGTACGGCTGATAGTCGCGCGGTCGAGGATCATGGAGTCGGTGTCAGTAGTGGCGAGGAGGTCTGCGACACCGCATTTCCTGCAAATATCGACGATCAGGACCTTTCTGCTACGGCGACGGTGCCACCGGAGTCCAAAGACTGCTGGACAGAGATGACAGCATCCCTGATCACAACAGTAGTGAACGAAAAGCGCCTGGAATTGCATCGCACACTGACAACCAAAGTCACTGGGAAAGATCCCGCTGAGATAGCGCGGGAAGCAAAAGAGCACGTATACAACACCTATATGCAACATGGCGATCCCAACATTCCCATCCAACGACAAGGAATGATACTAGGGGAGGTTCTAGTACTGAAGATGGAAATGTACTTGAACCAAAAAGCCCTCCAGACAAATAGCACCGCAATACCGGTCGCGGAGCGTCGTGAGTTGCAGACCAAAACTCTGGACATCTCCTGCCAAGCCCTCGAACGCACCAATGAAATGTTTACCGACGCGCTTCTCCGCGGATATCGCTGGCTTTCTTCTACATTCATGCCTTACTTTCTCCTCACATACATATTGTGGCACCTCTGTGTGTATCCAGTGGGGCTGCATGTTGAACGTGCATGGCGAGCAATTAACCTGGTTTTCGACCTGACCGAGAAGGACCCCCTGTGGCCAAACCCGGGGCCAAAGTGGGCGATAATCACTCGCCTGCGCGACAAGGCGTTGCATATACGACAGATGCAGGTGGCTGCGGAGCAGGCTGCGGGCTCAGCCGATGAGAACCAACCGACAGGTGCCGATCAAGCGGAGGCGCCAATGGTTGAGTCGTTCTTTGACTTTGTAAACTGGGATATGGGCGTCCTTGGGTTTCCGGACTGGACTGGCTTAATGCAGAGTGTCGACATTACGGGCTTCGAGCATCTGATAGATACTCAGATTTGAGACCATGCTTGAGCAAGGTCGAACCAGCCAAGAGAATATTACATTAACTATATCACGAGAGAAACCGACTCATATGAGCAGACAAGAGGGAAACACTCAGAACTTCGCCTTAAGCACCCAGCCTGTTTGACGAATACGCGTCATTAGGACACACACGGTGCCTGCCAACAGAAAGATACCCGAATAGATCTTCATGCCCGTGTACGACCCATCATCGCGCTGCAGGATTGCGCCCGCAATAGGGTTTGTTGTCAAGGCACCAATCGACGCGAACAGGAAAAGCACACCAGTCCAGTAGCCCATCTCCCGGAGCGGGGCAATCTTTGCCACCAGGGCAGCAGACAAGGAGAAGTATGCGCCCGAAGTGATACCAAAGAGGACCGCGAAAACGATATTACCGGGGTTGTTGGTCGCAGGGATCCAGAGCGCGAGGACCAAGATGCCCGTCAGTGAACAGACTACGACAAAAATGTTGTATGGCCCGACTTTATCGGAGAATGCGCCAGCCCCCATTCGACCGAAAAGACTATCACCCGTTAGCATGCTTATCATTTTCAGAGCATAGTCGGGCCACTCACCTTCCAGCGTTCAAGATCGGAACCAAATATTGCGCCAGATTCGTACTCATCCCATCCGCAATGGCCGACGTCTCCATGTAGTTGATAGGAATAAATACGCCGAAAGTCAACAGGACAAACCCGGAAACCAAGAACAGCATCTTCACCTCCTTATACGGCCGCATCAACGCCTCTTTATCCATCCGCTGCTTCATTGGCGGAATTCTCGCCCTCACAGTAAGACAAGTGACGACAAGCAACCCCAGGATTAGAAAGGCAGCGATGCGCATCGCCCACCCGAAGCCAACACGAGTGATGAGCCGGTCCACCATGATAGGGAAAATCACACCACCGGCACTTGACCCGGAGGCGATGATTCCATACGCCGCGCCGCGTTTCTTGTTGAACCAGCTGGGAATGGAGCTCATTGACGGCTGGAAAATAGCACACAGCCCCATAGCGCTACAGACACCTTGCGACAGCAGGACCTGGTAATACTCCGTAGAGATGGAGGTCATCATGAGCCCAAACACATGCAGGAGGGAGCCTGCGATGATGACCACGCGAGCACCGAGTCTATCGCTCAGCGTACCAACAATGGGTCCCTAATATGGTCAGCCTGGAAATCTTATATTTAGCAGGAGGAAGAGAGAAACCGACCATGAAAAACATGAAAAACACCTCCAGCGAAGGAATCCACGCGATCGTACTCGTCGAGTACTCACTCAACAGCGTTGTCTCATAATAAGTCTGGAACGTTCCAATACCTGCGCCCCAATCAGCACGTATCTAGCAACAAGCCATTTTCTTCTCCCCTCTTTTAGAAGTGAAATCAAGAACAAAGTAAACATGAGAATAAACATACTATTAATCCACCCAAAAGTACAGAAATACGCACACCACGCCCCCAACACAACCGACCACGCCGCGAATCCCCCATCAGGCGGGGGATCAGCCGTCCCCCACGGCGATTGCGCCGGAGGTTGCGAGGGAGCCTGTTTCTCCGTATCGGCAGCTAATTCTGACTCTTGCAGCGTATTTTGAGACCTTTGGTCATCCTTATCCAGAATGTCTGCAGCATTTGTTTGGGTATTGATAGCTGCTTCATAGGAAGGAGCCATTGTGTCCGGTTGTCGTCTCCGCCCGTCGGTTTTTTCGCGCTGTTGAGACTGATCTTATAACTTATAATGAGCGGAAAGAAATAAAAGTAACTCGCTTCTTTATTAAACATCATCATAGTTAGTTAGAGAAAACTTATCTTAAGTAAAGCATAATAAATAGGGCTGGGCTGAGCTCGGCGCGGCTCGGACGTTCCTGAACGACCGCGCCGCTCCGCTCCGCATCTTTTACGGTGTCTCGCGCTCGGAGGGGAGGATCGGATCCGATGATAAGGGGTTTCCTGGTGTGGGATTGGATGACCACGTGTAGTAAGACTAAGATACTATCTGTATATCGTTTTGTCGATCACCGGCCAATGAGCTGATCTTGAGTAGAAGTTCTGTTTTGGCGTGGGTGGGGGCGGAGTATACAAATAGGAGGATGTGGAAACTGCCTTTCTCTTCTGGTAGGGCTGGCTGCGATGGATATACTAGGTGGGTGGTTTCCATCATCCGAAGAAAGCTCAAGCAATGATTTCAGAGGGGAAGGAGGAATGTAACATCGGAGAATTAGTTAGTGGGAATGTTACATGCATTCGGTGGAAATATCCCGCAACGTGACCTGTCACTGCGGCTTTATGTGCATGCATCGGAGGCCATGTTGCGAAATCAGATCTAATCAATCAGAAGGGGTAGTACTGGGACTCTATAGCTCAGGGTTTCTATTCATCAAGCAGTAACCTTATATCTACCGGGTGGTTAAGATTAATAAAACAGTAAAGTTACGGACGGCTGGAAGGACGTCCAGAACGGCCACACATCACGTGACTTCCTTGGTATATGAATAGTATACCCAGGAGTATACTGACAGTCAACCATATACCAGCGTCGTGCCATATAAAAGGATATATAAGGATACCCTTTTATGTACTTAACTAGTTCTATTCTTCGTACTCAATATAACTACTATCTTAAAGTAACTATATATTTAGAAGCTTAGCTACAGAATACTCGTCCGCACTTACTTACAAATTACTGCGCGGTACTATTCAGTCTTACTACTTCTCTTCTCTGGTCTCTGATCTTCTTCTCTTTCGCCTCATTCACCTCTCTCTTACATTTTTTATCTTTGTATCAGTCTTCTCTTTCCTGCCCAATTCTTCCTTCCTCTTCCGTCTTTCTTCTTCTCTCTCTATATAAATTCTCCCCCCCGGCCCTTTTCCTTTCTTCTTCACTTCTCTCTTCTCCTCTCTTCTTACTTTAAAGCTTTTATTATTCCTTGTTCAATCTTCTCTCTCCTATCACTATTCCTCTTCTTATAATCTCTATAACAAGCACTCTCAAAGCAGGAATACCCTGAATATCAGCAATAATTCAAGCAAACATAGAAGACCTCAGCAAGAGACTGGAGCCACCACAGAACACAGAGGACTTACTAGCTGGCTCTGAAGACGTGCAAGAGCCCGATGAGCAAGAATCCTCCCTCCAACTCGAAAGTCTCGACCCAGACCAAATGCGCTTGGAGGCAATCAATCACTGTAGGCAGCAGGACAATTCCAGGCAGGCTCATTTCTTTTCTCGTCTGGGCTTTGACACCCACAATCCAGTCCAGCATACGGAAAGCGCGCCATCTACAACTCCTTTTTTACAGGACGATCAAGCGCCCTCTGCGCAAGCAGTGCTTGATGACAGTCTATTTATGCCTCAGAAACTCTCTTTATCATGGAATCATCTGTCCACTGAAACAGATGTGCCTCTGATATCTCCAGATAATCAGAATATATTTGACCTGCTTCACGGGCTTAGTTTAGAAGGTGATATGTTGAGACATTCACTGCAGCCAGGCAGCTGTCAGCTGATCCTTCGCCTTTCTTCCTGCGTGGTCTCTGACCACCACCTCTTCCAACAACCAACCACCAAACCATCTTCTTAAGATCTAGATAGATCAAATCCATATATCCTTGACCCTTTGTCTTGACATGATATAAGTCCACCTCTTCAACAGCTTTTGCAGAATTCACCCCATTCGAACGCTAGTACTTCACAAACAGGAAATGCAGGTACAATAGCTGCACCTGCCGCCAATGAGGAAGACCCAAAGCCGTCCGCACCGACATGTGTCGAGATGATATCATCCTCATCCTCAAGGTTCCTTTGCAGCTTTTGCTTCAACGCGCCTCTTCCTCCTCTATTTATCCTGCAAACCCTCCTCCTCCTCGTTACACCCACCCTCTTCGCCGCAACCGTCTACATGGAGCTCGGCCGGATTGTGCTCCTAACAAACGGAGAGGCATATTGCCTCATTCGCCGAACGTGGCTAACCAAGACATTCCTGCTCGGAGACATCATCTCGTTCATTATGCAAGGCGCAGGTAATCTCCCCTACCTCCCTTATTAATGCAGGTTTACTCTGCTAAGTCTCATTCAGGGGGCGGGATAATGGCCTCTGGAACACCCAACGCCCTAACCACTGGCGAGAATATCATAATCGGCGGTCTCGTCGTACAACTAATCTTCTTCTCGCTCTTCGTCATAACGAGTATAAAATTCCACCGCGGGGTGTCGAACACTCCATCACGCCGTGTCCTTCACTCCCAAGCGCCCTGGAAGCGGCACATGTACGCCCTGTACGGGGGAAGCGCGCTTATCTTTGTCCGATCACTGTTCCGATTGATTGAATATGTGCCAGGAAATGACGGGTATCTAGTATCACATGAGGTATACCTGTACATCTTTGATGCGTTGCTCATGGTGCTGGTTATGGCTCTCTTTGCATGGGTGCATCCGAGTGAAGTGCATGCGTTATTGACGCCGGGGGGTCGGGGGAGGGCTGCTGAACGGGTGTTTTGGTTGAAGATGGAGGGTGGTGAGAGCTTGCCGTAGCTTACCATATTAGTCTGGTGTTTGTGATTTATAGATAGGCATGGATGCACATATAGTCTATACAAGCCGGAATTCCTCAGACCCCCTAAGTAACCGGTCCAGAAATGGCCTTCCTTTCTAATTTATTACAGATAAGGACAAGATCAGTGTTATCTTTTGAGCCTATGATGAGCTCTCTGTATTCTTGCCCCGTTATACCACTTATCAAAAGTCCTCTCAGCGGCCAAGTTCGGCTTCTCTCGTCGCACAACGCACAGCTATACATAACACGCCGACGATTGGTCATGGACGTAGCGCTCATTACTACCTCCGAATCGGGAATCGCATGGTGGGAAGTGGGGGGGGGTCTTGTGGCTGTATACCGCTACTACGAAGGCCGTAACCAGTAGCAGCCTCAATGAGCCCGCTGCGTCTCTTCGCTCTCCATAATCCGGGTAGGTTAACTCAAGCAATCTGGCACTAGCTGCAGAAAGTATTTATGCCCAAGACGGAATGTTACCCCAAGGTGTGGTCAAATTGGGGCGGATGGCAAGGAAGGACGTCTCAAAAGGCCGTGACAGATTCTTCTGAAGAGAAGCCGCCTTTGTTGGGGGTTTGCTGGGGGATCTACACCGAGCTAGGTCGAAGAAAAGCCGAGACCAGACTAGAACAGAAGGCTAGGAGTGATAATTGCTCGAGGTGAACGGTACGGGTTAGGTGACGTCCACACTTGTAACGCTTAACTAGATGGTGGCATGATTACAGATATTTAAGTCGGAGCGAAAAAAAAATCCGGATACGAGTGCGAAAGAGAAAACGAAGAGATGGCCTCAGTTAAGTCGACAGTGCCAAGCAAAACTAACTTAGTCCTTATTGGCCTGAATCTTTTTATTTAATTTAATTGAAAGCTGATATTTGGATTTCCCAGTCTTCTTGTGAACTGTATAACGCGTAATAAGCGCGGAGAAGCTGTGACAGCTGATGAGAGAATAATAACTTTACCAGCTTATAGGTATCCAGCTGCTTGTGCTGATGTTCTCTCTTTTATTACTTAGTGAAGATTTATGAGCTGGACTATGATTATAAAAGTAGTATTAGTTATATTAAATTAATGAAGCTTAGCTTCTGTCCTACTGAGTCTGGAATCCCTAGGTAGTCAGGGAAAAGAGAAACCATGATCATGCTCGCTGAGCAGGAGCATGATCCGCCCTGATCAGAACCAACTCGGCAGAGGATTTCTGCTACATAGGAGAGTTTGAACATAGGCCAATTGGTCAAATATTTGTCAATTTCATTTTATCCTTTTCTTTGCAACATATCCTCTTGTAAGCACTTATTGCATTCAGCTCTATCAGGAGGAATATTGTCAAGAAAGAACTCCATCCTACGGAGCGGTATATGTAATAGTAATTCAGGTATCTTAATTTACCTGGCGTTCTAAATCAAGGCATTATAAGGAACATCAAGGCACCAACACCCTGGCCGCACCGCTGCGCACTCCATCCTTCTTCTCGAACCAGATCATTTCTTGGAGCATTTCCTCCAACTGCAGACCCAACCTTGTGACTTGATCATCTTCTATCACAAACTCCGCTTTGACGATGTCGTCACTGCCATCGAGCCAATCAGTCAGATGAGCATTGAATTTTCGGTCATCGGACACATGTTCGAACTTCAAGGTAAACCCCATTGAGCGATCTGTAGCATCGATGAAGAGCGCATCATCTCTGATTTGAACCTGTAAGTTATGATACCCAGGATTCCAGTAGTTGCCAGCGTAAGCACTGAGGGGTAGAGTCGGTGGCTGCGGAGTATTCCGGTTTGGTTTTTGCTCATTCACTTGGCCCTTCTGGATACCTTGACTTTTCTTCGCTTGGGATTTCTTTTCCTGCTTTTTCTTCTCCTTCTTTTCCTGATTCTTACTCATTGGATTTGCGTCTTTCGCCTCGGCCTGGGGTTTGGGACCGCGGATTTCAACAGATCGGGTGTCTTTGCTTTTGCTGTCCTGAGGTTTTTCGTCCGTGACTCCAAGGACATTGTCAATTAGCTTTTGGACCAGGGTCGTCGCAATGCCATTTGCCCCATCTGAGTTTCCCATGATCACCGCACCGAATGAGAAATCAGGGAGGAAGAAGAAGCGACTGGCGAATCCAGAGAATGCCCCATTATGGCCGACAACCATATGTCCCTTGTAAAAGTAGACATCCAGGCCAGCCGCATATGCTACCGGTGAGCTGTACCGCTTCCGTCGTCCGGGGTTTGGATTCACAAAAGTTCGCAGGCGAGTAAGCCCTTCATAAACATTTTTATTGATAGGGTCTTCGCGATTCATGAAAGCCTTGACAAATTTGATGAAGTCGTTCACGCTCGAAATGATAGACCCGGCGCCTTGGCCTTCTGGGCAGTCGGGACTTTCTAACCCACGATATGTTGAGTCGGCCCTTTTCCATGTGTAGCCAGTTGCCATGCGGGATCCAAATCCTTTTGAGCGTGCGCTGCTGGGTTGAAGAGTAGTTGATGCCATGTCCAGAGGCTTGAAAAATCGGTCTTCGAGGAATGTACCAAAATCCTGTCCGCTCTTGACTTCCACAAGGTGGGTTGCCACTGTATACATCATGTTGCAGTAAATATACTTTGATCGAATGGGGGCCGCGACAGGGAGATTCCTGAGGTTTCTCGTAATGGATCGAGCATTGTCCGGCTTCGCCGCTCGCACACTCATATACGAATCGTCATGGCTGGCGCAATATGATTAGTCTTGAAGTCAAACATGGAATTTGAAAAAAATATTAGCTCACCCAGGCATTCCACTTCTATGACTTAAGATGTCTTCCACGGTGACTCCTTCTGTGTATCCTTTGCCAGACATAACAAAGTCCTCGGGGAGAAGAGTCGACATTACGGCATCGTACTGAATATCCGGGAACATGTCGTTATCGTCGACTAGCAATCCCACCGCCGCAGCAGTGAGTGATTTAGCAGACGATGCAATGTCAAACAGCGTATCTGCTGTACAAGGTATTTCGGGATCCAGGCTCGCATGTCCATATCCCGCAGAGGCAATTTGATCATTGTGTATGATTGCAATGGCCAGCCCCGGGACATGCTGCTGCTTCATCAACTCTGTCACATCTGACGCAAACCCTGCCGAGTGAAAAAGATCCATATTGCTGATTTGACGAATTGCCGGTGTGCGTTATGGAATGCCACTGTACAGGCCTGTTCATGTAGGTTCCAGGCGGTTTCTTTGAGGGAAAAGACCTCAGTTCAAACCTTGAAATGAGAGATGCCACCTGGCACGAGAATGGGGGCCGGATTATAACACGCTTGGTCAGCTGCAAGGCTTAGTGTGTAGCTCTCAACGTTGGGGGCCTGAGGATCAGCACCCGAGCGGCCCCGCACCTGGGCCCTTCGGGTTGCCTAACCAGAGCGGTGGGGTTTTATCCGACTGCTGCCTGTTTGGCCATTTAATTCAGGTAGAATACCTCTAAGTTGATACTAGACCTAGCATAGTGGATTTTTACTGGTAGCATTCCAATCGAAGTGATCATTTTGTTCTAAAGCTGTCATTCTTCTAAAGCCAGAAATAGACTAGGCAGTTTACCCAAAGCACCTTATTAAAAAGATTGTTGAGATTGTTAAAGGTAGTCAACATTATACTGTATCACAGCCACTTCTAAGTTGCAGGACTTTATACAATTCCTACACGCATTTCTATATCCCATGCCTAACAAGAAGACTATACTCTAAACGAAAAATAGATACTCATCTACTCTTACCAGAATTTTAACCCTTAACTGGAGCAAGAGATACCAAATTACTTCTCCTCTGTCTGCATGCTCTCATATAGCGCCTTGAACAGTGATCCTGGCCGTTCAAGCAGCTCACGCGGTGGGCCCTCCTCAACGATCCGCCCTTTGTCTAGCACCACGAAGCGATCAAAGTCCAGCGTTGTGTGTAGCTTGTGAACAACAGCGATGACAGTGCACGCCTCAAATTCTTTCTGCAGAACCTCGTGTATCAAAGCGTCCGTATCCGCGTCAACGCTGCTACCCACCTCATCCATGATGAGGACGCTGCTTGGATTGATAACTGCTCGAATAAGACAGAACAATTGCCTCTGTCCATGCGACAAGGTCTCTTCGTTCATATCCTCATCCAGCCCGCCACGAGACTCGCAAAAGTCCCATAGGCGCACAGATTGAAGTGCCTGAATCAGGCGCTCGTCGGTAGCGACCCCGAGAGGGTCAAGGTTCTCGCGGACGGTGCCTTTTAGGAAGAACGGGTCTTGGGGAAGGGAGTTGAAGCGAGCACGAACGGCCTGGCGTGTGATGGTGCTGATGTCGATGTCGTCGACGCAAATCGATCCTGATTGAAGCTCCAGCATGCGCAGGAGAGTTGATACTAGGGAAGATTTGCCGCTACCTGTGCGACCGCAGATGGCTACCTTTTCACCAGGTGTTATGGAAAGGTTGATATCCTTGAGTACTGGGTCCGTGGAAGTGTCGTAGGATGCAGAGACACCGTTGAATACAACGGCGCCCTTTGCGGGCCATTTGTCGCTGACAAGTCCGGTCTCATTGGGCAGGTTCTCGTCTTTTGTGTCGAGAATATAGGTACGGACACGACTGATAGCTCCAAGAGCCATTTCAACCTGCGTCCACTCGGTAACGAGCGTCTGTAGCGTGGTACTGAATGTCACGACTTGATACAAGGCTACGCCGAGATAGCCAGTTGAGCCACTGCCTCTGATATTTGTCGCAAGGGCAACGAGAATAATGGCGACTCCAGCGACAAATAGGTCCAGTACCATTGTCAGCCATCGCTGGACACACCACAGCAGATAGTATGGCTTTTGTGACACGTTGAGGGAGTCGTGGACAGATTCGACGTAGTGGCTTGTCCAGTCAAAGGCCCGTATAGAGGATATACCACCCAGGGTTTCCAAGAACTGGGAGAAGAGAGGCGCCTTGGCTTCAATATCGAGTATTCGCAGCTGTCGGGATGTGCGCAGATAGAACAGCTGGATGGCCACGATGACTACAATGCACAGTGGAATTGCGATGGCGACGTAGCCAGAGCCGATGAATAAGATGACCGCCGACATGATGGCACTCAGTAGCTGAAAGATGGTTTGATCCAACGAAGTGGGCAAATCTTGGTCAATGAGTTCAAGGTCTTGGCTGAATCGGTTGAGCGTTACGCCTGCATCCGTGGATGTGAGAAAAGACGTAGGTGCCCTAATCAAAGTTATGATCAACATCATTATTATGAAACGTTCTGGTGTCTCATTAAAAGCAACTTACCGCATAGTGGCTGTCAAAAGAAGCTCATGGAGCTTCCGGGACGTCCGCGGAATTACAAACAGGTTAAACACACCGTCGGCAAGGGAACAGCCAATGATCGCTATTGAAGCGAGAGCTGCGTACACACCGAGGTAGTAGCCAATCTCTTGGTTGGGATGATCAGCGTTGTAGTTTGTCCACTTTTGCAGCCATACAGAAGGGAAGTTGACACCAAACACAAAGGTGGCACAGGCGCAGACATATAAACTCATCCTCCAGCTGCCCGCAATTTTGACATAGAAAGAATACACCTTCCAATCACCACTTTGCTTCTTGGGATCTGGTTCGTTTCCGCCGTCAAGAGGAACGCCCACCTCCTGCATCGTCTCATCGGAGAGTTCCAGCAATGGACGGGACGTTGTGACGGTTGGCTGTTCCGAAAGCTTGCGGATCCAGTCTCCTGACGGTGAGATAGCGTCGAGGGTACCTTGGTGTGCAATCTTGCCATGTTCGTTCAACATGACAATTTTGTCCGCGAACTGCAGGTGGCTAGCAGTGTTCGTGGTCATTATTACGGTGGTGCCAACCTTCTTCGCAAGACCGTCGGCTCCGAGGACGCTTTCTAAGACTGCGCGCTCAGTCGTGCGGTCAAGGCCAGTAAGCACATCGTCTAAGACGAGGATGGGACTTCGATTATACAGAGCCCTAGCTAAGGATACGCGCATTTGCTGACCACCACTGAGTCTTGATCCTCGCGTACCAGTGTTGGTTTGGTCGCCGTGTGGTAGTTCATCCAGGTCGGCGACTAGTGAACAAGCCTGAATGACGATATTATACCACTTGCTATCGTACTCGGAGGCGCCTATGATGTTGCTTCGAACCGATCCCCATGTGATCCAAGGGGTTTGGGGGCAGAATGCGGCTTTACGAAAGGACGTGGCAACATTTCCAGAAACACATGGCATCTCCCCGAGTAAGAGCCTGAGAAGCGTCGACTTGCCAGATCCCACCGGACCAAATATCATTGTTATTTGGCCACGAGGAATATCAAGGTTCAAGTCATGTAGTATAGTCGTATCTTCATCATAACCAGTGGACACCTCTTTGACAGAAGCAACATTCTGGTGTTGGTCTAGTTCGGCGATGGCCTTGGAGGCCGGGTTTTCTTTGAGAGAAATGTCGTCTGTATTATCGCTGTTGGACGATATACTGTCAGAAGGCTGCTTAAAGTCGGGGGTGATTCGGAAGTCATGGTGATCCTCTGATGTCAAATACTCTTGGATTCGACGAAACGAATTGGCAACCGTCTGGATGTGTTCAAAGCCGTCAATGATGTAGATCATGGGTTGGTTCATCAGCTCGAATAAGCTGAGCGCGGAAAATGCAATACTATCAGTCAAGGTCTCTGTGTTTCGCGACCTTGCCAGGATGATGTATACCCCATAGCCCCAGACCGGCGCAAACGTGGATGATGCAAAATCTAAGGTCACCATCAGGCAGGTTCTTTATGAAATATTGATGTATGGACGTCTCTTACAAAATATGGTGACAAAGATGTTCAAGACTCGCCACCTCAGAGATGCACGAATCTCGTCCAGCCTGAGCTGACGAATCGTGGCGGAAACAACGTCCGCCAACCCAGTCATCTTAATGGCCTTGACTGATCCTAGCGCCTTTGCAGTCGCAGCCAGACGGGATTCGATGGCTTCCAGCCAGGGCGTCTGGGCATTTCCAGCGGCACCCGCTAGCGGAAGACCCGCGATGAGACATACTGCGGACATTGTTAGCGACTGGGACAGTTATATTGGCCCAGCCATTCATTATCACATACGAACGATCCATAAAATTGGGGCCACCACAGCGATTCCCAGAAGGCGATACAAGAGCCAGCAGGCGATGGCTACGTCGATGAAACTCGCCCAAAGCTCGTGAATGAGGGGCAAACTATGTCCTATGCGATCGATGTCGGCACTCATGAGCGTAATTGCCTCCGCGTCTGCGATAGAGGTTGATTTCATCTTCAGTGTTTTTTCGAATATCATCATGACGAGGCTTCCGCGGTACATGGTAAGCAAGCGGTACGTCTTGTGCTGGTTGACGGCATACGAGACCTGTAACAAGATCAGAGAGTTGGCTTCGAGTCATGACAAAGTAATTAAACACCTACCGCGATGCCAATATAGACAATGGCGTACGCACCAATCAGACCGTATGCGGTGTCATTGGTTGTTGGGGTCCTGGCCTCATCTATAAAATCGAGCACGCGCTCCACGAGAAACGGCTGTGCGAAAAGGAATCCACTATAAGCGAGTCGCGGCAGTACACCTGCAAGAAAGGGCCACTTGTAGTGAATCAAAAAGGTCCAGAACAGAGCGTAGTCGCTAGAGTGGTCAGCTGATCGATAGTGTTAGCGGATAAGGTGTGTAAGATGAGCAATGGAATCTCACCAATGTCCCATCGTTGCTGCAACTTCAAAGGTCGGGACGCGGAGAGGATTTCAGGGTCAACCGAGGTCAGCATATCGACTGTCAGAAAGGTCTTGAAGCCCTTGATGAATATATGATTCAACCACAGGAATAACGATCGGTCAATGGCTCCCGCCTTCTCCTCTGGCGTTGCGTGTTTCCATTCTGGGCGCGAGAACCGG